CTATATACTATATATATAAATATATATATATATATATATATATATATATACATATACATATATATACATATATATATATACATATATATATATATAAATATATATATATATATATATATATTCCACTACGTACCTCATCAGCCAAGGCCATCTTCGGGGCAATAGTTGACAAAATAGTCGACAAGACATTCATAGTCGGCGTCAGCAACTCGGTAGCAATGAAAAACGCTACTCCGTTTATAATAGCCATGTCATACAGGTCAGGGTTCTCACGTACAACCTCAAAGGCAATTAATCCTCCCACACTGTGACCCAGAATTACAGTAGATATCTTCATCTCGGCACTCTCTTTGGCCATAATCATCTCTGTAAATTGCTTTGTATCGTTCACAAAGTTCTGGAAATCGTGTGCATAGGCGGTCGTGTGACCCTGTGATCGGCCATGTCCCTGGTGATCAAACAGTGCACAGTTAAACCCAGCCGTAGTAAGCGTAGGAACGAGTATTTTCTGCCACTGAGGCACGCCAATATGTTCACCTAATCCGTGGATCAGAAACACATTAGCCTTGGCAACTCCGACAGCTTGGTGAATTTGGTAGTAGGATGCAGACCATCGGCGTTCTCGAAGTATTGATATTTGGCGTCTACGACGTTAGCGGATGCGAAAGGCCAAACCATTGTGTATACAGTGTATAGCAATATGTGTATGTTCGTGGAGTGTGCGAATGTGATAGTACTGATCGCAAAGTCGAGGGCTGGTATATATATACATATATTATATTGGTATCACTTCTATGATAATTTCTTTTTCTTTTTCGCAGTTTGGGGTTGGGGGACTGCACATCGGTTGTTCCTCTGTCGGGCTGTCGGCTGTCGGCTGTCGGCCTCAGCCCTCAGTCTCTGAAAACCTGATCAATTGTCAAATAGATCCCCAGTTCCAATGTTTTTTTTCTTCACTTTCTGTACATATTTATTTGGAAACTGGTTTAGCCTGATATAAAAATTGAGCAGTCAAAACTGAAAACTCAAACTATCGCTCGGTCATCATCATTCGACTTATTTGTTTTTAAAAAAAGAAAAAGAGTAAAAATATATAACGAACAAAAATGTACCCATTTGTTGTTTTTTTAACTGGCCCATTTATAATGATTTGCTTAAAACAAAATAGTAAAATATAGGGGCCAATATAGAATTAAAAATGACAGCGCCATTCGGGATAAATTTTGGGACAAAAGAATTAAAAAAAAAGCCCGCTCTCTGGTAGAGAGTATTTAGAGGCTAGAGAGTAAAGCTAGACAGAGTGTACCGGAGTTAGCAGAGTGAACAATATTTAATAATATGAGCATACGCCATACATATCATCATTTGTACTATGTATCTAATATGGCCCTCTGGATTTGAGTCTGCGCTATCCCAAATTCAGAGGGCCATGTATGTAAATAAGTAAATAATAAACATGTACCCATTTAACTTAGGGTTTAGGGTTTTAGGGTTTTAAGTCTTTGACTTTTGTAGGAGTATTTATCAAGAATAGATTTGTATTTCAATAAAAAGATGTGGTACATGCGTCGTAGTGAATATATGAATATTGATGATAATTACACAATTTAATTGAACTCACGTGATGTTGATACATATGCGCAAAGTGGGCTCGTCCCCAGATTCAGATCCCGCCCTGCGAGGAATTTTGTGATAATTACAAGAGTGTGGGTCCTGCCTAGTGCCTAGGATAGTAATATAAATTGATTGGTTCCATCAATGTGGATACTACGCTATTTAATTTTATCGGCATCATTCAAAATGCGTCACTGCTCTAGCATTCGCGTTCAAGATTTGCACCCGTTAATATGTAGTCCTGCGACGATCCCATACATAAACGTGACTTCAGTTCTATAATACACCATGACTGAAGATTTATATGTACGTTTTTTAAACCAAGTTTACAAGGGCCCATTTGAGCCATTCTGTCAATGTGTCTATTTGAGCCATTCTGTCAATGTGTCTATACTTGCACTAATACATTATGACTTCGAAAGCCGATAACCACATTCATTCATTTGTTGCTGAATCAGCCACGCCTGCGAGGGTCGATATATGCAATTTACTATGTATAGCTGGCTTAGGAACTAATATGTAAGTAGTAGGATGCGTGCGTGAGCCGTCGTCTACTTATTTGCGCCCAAGGCCACCTCGGCCGCTGTGGCTGGCTTGCCTAGTAGGCGCATGTTTTCCAGGAATAATGCCGGAATCATACGCTGGTCTGATCCTGAGGGATACAATGGGGTTCAACAGATACGTGAGATGGATGGGCAATTGTGTTATCTCACTTAACAAAGGGTTTAGATTCCAAGCTGCAGCCATTTGAAGTAACCATGAAGTCTCTATATACTTTTTAAAAGAGAAGTGTAAGATCACGTCTACAGCGTTGGTCGGGGACGGGCGCTGCTCTAATGGTATATGACATGGCACACAAGGAAGCCCAAAAGTCTAACGGTTAGGCAAAGCAGAACACATCCACCCCCACCCTCCGCACTACTTCTGTGGCATTCTGTACACTTCATATCTTACTATCACCATGACCACACGCAGATGTCCCGTTGAATCATACACGGTGTGGGATAGCGTCAATAGGGAACGTGAAATAGTTCTACTTCTCCTGCCAACAATCACGGAGGGGTAGGTCTTGTCTGAGACTTACCAATGAGTACGCTGCGGTTGAATTTCTTCGTCAGTTCGTAGACGGCACGGATTTCACTGTAACTCATGCCACCAATCACGTAGATGATCAGACGAGGCCCAGCAAACCCATCAGAGGTTGCCACTGTGTGCACCGAACAGAAGAAGATGAGGAGATTGTATTGGTTGATATAAATAGCACGAGACGAGGAAAAATAAATTATTGAAAGTTGGGTTGCTTCCGGAATAGAGGGAATCGCATCGATTATGAATTCATCTGACAGACACACCATAATAGTATTGGATTGTTGGTTCAGCTTATGCACATACTACGAGAAGCATTCTACAGTTAAACAACAGATGGGGACCAAATGTACAATAGATGGAGATCAAATTACTAATCAGTATGCATAGAGGGGAGGACTTTGCAGACACAAAGAGATATGACTTGCAGGTTTCAATTAGTACAACTTAAACGGGCTTTCCAATCAATACGACAACGTACAATATACTACGTTTCTGTACGTTATAAAGTCTTGGCTTAGTGGCCCAGGTAAGTAATATATTACCTGAAACGGGAAATGCATTAACGTCCACTACACAAGCAGAGTCATATAAACTTTGGTTTATTTTATCTATTCATACGTTACTTGGTATCCATGTGAACACACACTACGTCTCTGTCAAGGTCTACACATGAACGACTTCAATGACGACTCGCCCCGACCAGAACATGCATCCGGTGGAGGAGGATATGCATAAAAATACGAACATCACAAGCTGACATTCCTATTCTCAAACAGCCACACACACCACACAAACAGGCATACGAACCAGCATACACAAGCACGCCAGACCCGGGTTCACATCATATACTTTTTCCAGTCAGTTTTCAATTTTCTGTCACGTTTGTCCGACCCCTGTCGTGTAGTAGCACACAACAATGTACATCAAGAGACTGTACTATAGGTCTCTTGACGTATACATTTAAACCCAAACAGCGGCCGATTTGAAAACCATAGTCCTGTTCTATTGGGTATTACTGACTGACCATCACATACGAACGTCGGTAATCCAATGGAGAACACATTCTGATCTATGCGCTTACCGTTCTTCTTGTCTGTCTTGTCTTTCTTGTCCTTAGCCTTGGCCCATCCCGGTTTGCTTCTGGCCGAAACGGGACCGCCAGCACTCGACGTAGTGCCGCTGACTGGAGGTTCTCCCTTTGTCCAGGCAATCACACTCTTATCATACTTGCCAATAAGCAACCCCTGTATGTGTATGCAACAAGAATGATTCATATGACTATGTTGTGTGTATGTACATACACTTTTATCACACTTGCCAATAAGCAATCCCTGTATGTGTATGCAACAAGGATGATTCAGATGACTATGTTGTGTGTATGTATATACACTCTTGTCATCTTTACCAATAAGCAATCCCTATATGTGTTTGCAACAAGGATGATCCATATGACTATGTTGTGTGTATGTACATACATTCTTATCCTACTGACCAACAATCAATCTCTATATGTGTATGCAACAAAGATGATTCATATGACAATATTGTGTGTATGTACATACACTCTTATCCTACTTACCAACAATCAATCTCTACATGTGTATGCAACAAGGATGATTCATATGACTATGCGGTGTATACGTATATACCTAAATACACTCGTACCATACTAATCAAGGATAATTCAAATGACTACTTTGTAAGTATGTAAATGCACTCCTACCATACTTACCAATTAGCAATCTTTAGATGTGTACGTAGCAAGGATAATTCAGGATGACTATTTCGTGTATATGCAGATACCCTCATATCATATTGTCAACCCTAGATATACACGAGTCATGGATGGCTCATGATGAGTATGACTCAATCCACGCAATCACTTACTAAGAACCAAACCCTAGACGCAGGTACAACCAAACTTTTAACATAATTGCGAATCAACTCCTAGATATGCACCTGGCAGCATGCAATGGTTTAAATACACTTCCGTTTAGATGTGTGGTCAGTAACGACCAGTACGTCAAACGTATTTACGCTCAACCGTATACCAGATGGGCGTGCGGAGTGCACATACAAGCGCCTCAATCATTCCCAGTGACGTGACTTGGCAGGAGAAGTAATGCGTGCATAGCAAACCCTACACCCCGTGACCCTAACCTCTTGAATACTGCTGTGTTGCGGACCAACACAAATTAGAATCTCAAATGCTGTCAATCGCACCCAGATAGATATACACCAATCGCAACAAGAACACACCTGTTGGCATGCACATCTATACAACCACACCCCAACTAGCAACCTAGCCTGTATACCTACCCCCACAGTAGTATAGCAACTTAACTCCATGACAAACACCCCAGCACCATACCTCGCCAATGTCCTTCACTACCGGAGTCCAGCGTGAAGTAGTGTACATCTCTGTTGTGTTGCGTTTGATTCGAGGGATGACAACCGAAGCCTTGTCCTTAGGCGTCACGCGCACGCCCAGATTTGACATGCCGAATAGCGCCACTTTATCAGCCTGCAAGTGCGAGAATGTATAGTTGAATTTCTTGTTGGTCAAGTACATGTCGATTTCTTATATATATATATATATATATATATATAT